GAAAAGATATGAAAGGTGCATTAATCTAAAGTCATATACTGAAACAGGTATGAAAGGTACATTAATATAAAGTCACATACTGGAACAGATATGAAAGGTGCATTAATCTAAAGTCATATACTGAAACAGGTATGAAAGGTACATTAATATTAAGGTCACATACTGGAACAGATATGAAAGGTGCATTAATCTAAAGTCATATACTGAAACAGGTATGAAAGGTGCATTAATCTAAAGTCATATACTGAAACAGGTATGAAAAGTGGATTAATCTAAAGTCACATACTGGAACAGATATGAAAGGTACATTAATCTAAAGTCATATACTGGAACAGGTATGAAAGGTACATTAATATAAAGTCACATACTGGAACAGATATGAAAGGTACATTAATCTAAAGTCATATACTGGAACAGGTATGAAAGGTGCATTAATCTAAAGTCATATACTGGAACAGATATGAAAGGTGGATTAATCTAAAGTCATATACTGAAACAGGTATGAAAGGTGCATTAATCTAAAGTCATATACTGAAACAGGTATGAAAGGTGCATTAATCTAAAGTCATATACTGGAACAGGTATGAAAGGTACATTAATATAAAGTCACATACTGGAACAGATATGAAAGGTGCATTAAGCTAAAGTCATATACTGAAACAGGTATGAAAGGTGCATTAATCTAAAGTCATATACTGAAACAGGTATGAAAGGTACATTAATCTAAAGTCATATACTGGAACAGATATGAAAGGTGGATTAATCTAATGTCATATACTGAAACAGGTATGAAAGGTACATTAATATAAAGTCATATACTGGAACAGATATGAAAGGTACGTTAATATAAAGTCATATACTGGAACAGATATGAAAGGTGGATTAATATAAAGTCACATAGTGGAATATATATGAAAGGTGTATTAACTTGAGTCATCCAATTAAAACATTCTGAAAGGTTCCTTAACCTGAAATAATATGATAGAAAACTTTCTGAAATGTCTCAACATGAAACCATTAAAGTATCATGCTGTAGAAGACTTCTGGAAGTTGCATCAACCTGAAGTCATGAATTTAAGGACCTCTAAGTATGCTAATTTAAAAATCGTATACCGGAACGTTCTAAAGAAGTATATTCAGGTGACGTCGTGCAAAGGAGCACTAACCTAAGATTATGTTTTGAAAAGAAGACAATTTCTAAACGGTCTTTTTTTTTCAATTTAAGTACGTATTACAAAATCATGAGAGAAATAAAACAAATTGAGGTTCTTAAATAAGCGACTGAAGTATGTATAAGCCATTTTATTTCGATGTAAGTGTCTACTGTACACCAATTATTCTCTATAGATTTATCTATCCGGAATAAATTTGATGTCGAAAATAATCGTGGTTGCACATCAAGTTTTTGAATAAAGATTAGAAAAAAAAATCTTTGTACTTCGAAAAAAAGAATCAATAAAGTAATTTCTGCGAGTTATTAACCAAGGAGAAGAAAAAATACACAGCATAATACGTAGATAACAATGCATCAAAATGTTTTATAAAAGTTTTTCGTTTCATTGGATGTACTACTCCTCACACGTAGTATTTTAGGTTTTCAAAATAAATCGAACACTTTGATATAAATGTTTTAGTTGTTTTTCAAGACCTTTACATTCGATTTACTCTTAATATGCGGTAATTTATAATTTAAAGTTTCTGTTACACATACTTTATCTTTCAAATTTCAAACAGCCACGTTTGAAATATCATTATTATATTATTATTGCCTAATTAAATATTTACGAATGTTGACCGACTAAATAATTTCTCATATAAGTATAAAGTGTTAGGTTTCAGGTGGTAAGAAATTCGAAGTTAGATTTTATATGATAAGATTCTGCACAAAAGGTCATAGCGCTTGGTAACACAAGGTTCAGCTTCGGAGATCCATATGAAACTGCCATCTAAAACTGACACATGAAGACAAATCAGTATTATAAAAATTTTACAACAGTTATTCGATCTTTTAATTAACCAAGTAAGACGGATATTGTGTAAAAGGATGAATAACACAGATGCATATTTTCAAAATGAAAAGTAAATAAGCTCAATTTTCTTGATTACACAGATTACACATAAACTGTAAAAAACATCTATACTTGAAACGTGCAATGACTATACAGGAAAACACAGCTTCAGTGGCTCAGCGGTACGTACTGTGGTCTTTTGACACTAAAAATCGGGTCTCTATACTTGTGTTTGCACACCACAGATAACTCATTGTGTAGTTTTGTGCTTAGCTACAAACAAACAATATCTTCAAATGGTCCGAAGACAATAATACCAGAGTAAATGATATTTGTATGTGCTGCTTTCCGCATGCAGAAATATCTAAACAGAATGTGCTTTTACATGACATACATCAGTGTAACAGAAGAAAAACAATTAACGAATCAAAATGTTTCGCATAATATGAAAATTAGATTCATTAAGATATAAAAGTGATGTTCAGAAACAGTTGCAATTATCTTTCCCATACGCCGAAGCCCCTAGAATCCACGTGTGGGTCAACGTAAAGTTTCCGAACTTAGAATGTTACAAGCAAATAAACCACCATTTTGTAGTCAACAACAAAACATACGGTCTGGCTATAGGTAAGTTACTGCCAAGAAATATGAAGCCCTGTAGAATGTAACCCTACAGTTTAACATAATGCACACAACATCTGTGTATAAATGAGTAATTAGAAAAGAAACAGCCTATGAACAAGTATGAGGAATAACATGCTTTTGTTTTTACGATTTGAAAATGATGCATAATATGCAAGAAAATGTGTGTTATGGTTTTTGCCCCTTTCTAATACAAACTACATGCTCTCAAAACATGTAATAAATTCCTCCTAAAATCTGAGATTTTTTTATGTCTGGTACGATTAAGACAGCATTTTTTAACCCATGGGTCAGTGCCCATTATAATGTGTAAAAGCGTCGGGAACAGATTTTGAAAATCGATAATAGTTTACTTCATTATCTGGTATGTATTTAATAAGCCAGACCTTTTTAACCCTAATGTTCTTTACTGAGTTGCGACTAGCCACTAATGTTTACAAATGAGTTCTGAACTAAAATATGTTGAGAGCCACTGGTTTTAGGTAGAAAACATAATTTTACGAAACTATGACTATACTACTTTGAAGAAAGAAAATAAAAATGCATTCAGGAAAGTCATAATAGTTCAGTACGAATTAAACATTATTGTTAGTCTTAAAGACATTTAATTAATGTCTAACTTTGTAAACTGACTCAAAACATAAGTCAGTGTAAAACAATGATATGTCAAAAAAGATACCTTATGATCCCTCCAAAAACAAGAAATTGAAAGTAATGAAAAAGTAAAGTGTGGTACACAGAGGTTCCAAAGTCTCTTTTCTCTTTCAGGCTAGCAGATTAGACCTTTCGTTTGCCAAATTAGAAAAAAAAATCAGATATACATACTTTTAGAACATTTACAGACTTCCAGATACAGGAAATTTGCCTTGTCATCACTGACCATATTTCGTGTGCTAATTACATATGTTGAACATTTCTCATGGATGAAATTGATTCTCTGCCAACATTCTTGTGTTTAACTTTAGAAATGTCTGAAGATTAAACTCTTCCTAATTTCACTTGGGACATCCAATTGTGTGGGTAGTGCCTTGTACTCTGAAAGGGGTGGCATAACT